TTAACAACCAGGTTTCACTACTCATTTCAGCGAAGTAGTTAAAATAAGAAGAGAATTTTCGGTATCGGTAAATCACTGTTGATCTTATCCACGTTTGTTTGGCCTCAGCGACACCGGGTAACTTCGGGAAGAAAAACTAGGGGGGCCTGACCACCATACATGTACGTCAAGTGACCGTGATCATAATTCAGTATATTTTGTGCATGAGAGTTTCATGGACTGGGTTATTTTTACATCCTAGCTTTGATTCAATCGAAGCGATAAGATTGTTAACACAACTCAATGGTTTCCGAGTGGATTACATGATCAGACCCCCATTGATATGAATTTCCGCATTTAGTTTGCGTTCACTCACCCAACATACCCCAATATGAGAGAGTGAAATGAGACAAAAACGGGAATCTCAGAAAATATAGTAAGTCCTATTGATGAAACTACTTAGCTCATCTTAGTAGAATACAATCTCACAAATGGAGGTCCTTGTTTCAAGGCTTGCACTGGATGAAACTTTCCACACTTGGGGAATCTAGCTAATTTTTTTTCTTTCGGATACTACCAACTTTCATGGCTTCGTCCACTAAATGTACTACCAGGAGAAGCTGCATTCGTGATTACTGGTGTCTGTCAGCTCGGCTCCATTGTACTCGGTGTTCACGTCGGGCTGACGTAAAATGAACAAAATGTCATACAAAGCATTTTCTCAGACCCATTTATTAGCTTAAGCCCTTCTTATGGTCTTGCAGTGGGATTCAAACTGTGAAAACCGTCGGAGTAGCGTTCGCTTCCCATTGGTGTAATGGTGGTTACTACTGATGAGGCATGCGAGTAGTGTTTTCTCGTAAATCGGCCTCGCGTCTCTTGAAGAGTGAGATCTATTACGGAATTGTGCAGTCGCTCTGTAGCATTTACTTGGAGTTGAGTAACAGTCAATGAATATCCAGGAAAGTTCAGGAAGACGCGTTCAAGGAGAAGATGGATATTCGGTTTTGTGAACACATATAGGAGTTTTGCTCTCCTGTCCAATAGTCTGTAACAGTTCAGTTGGTGCTTCTCTAAGCGAAGGCCTCATTCCCTTAATTGGTAGGATCATACATACCAAGTCACTGAATAAACATTAGAATTGAAGATCGATGGTCCATGGTTATAAGACTGAACTGAATTGAGGCAGATGGTGTTCGGTTTCCCTAATGCAACTGTCACATCATCATTTTTCAGGGTGACGATCGATCTGCCAGGTAACCGCTTCAGTTCATTTGCCTTTTAAATACACTTAAACGCATGACGAAGTATACCTCGTCGCAAATTACTCACTATCCTTGTCAAAGTCCGATATTCACACTTCCAATAGCTTGACTTCATTGTACGCTTGAGCATGCCATGCACGTGGCCGATCCGCTGGCGCAATGCGAATTTTCGCAAGTAACCCCAGTTTTCAACCCTTGCACTGGTCTGAGGATCAAACCATGACGTGGATGAGACCCTTGAATCACGTTTCCGGTTTCCACCGATTTCATCTGTGCTCGGGCGAACCGTACTCCCCCACACATTCGGGGCGGAGCCGAGTGTACGTCGTGCGACACTACTCTGTGGATGAAATGTGACATGACACATGGTGGTCTGTCGCCACCCTCAATGCACGGCAGCGTTCCAGAATACACCACCGTCATCGACTGATTCTCTACGCCTTGTAGGAAGGATGCTGAAAAAAGTCAAGACAGTTATGAATTTTATCGGGAAACTGAATAGGTAGTGTTCCGGCTACATCCGCGCCTGAGTTGGAAAATTAATTCCCGCATCTTAGACAACAACCATCGTTAGCTGCCTACTAACAGAGTTATCTCATCAATATAGCAGAGGAGAATCAATAGGTAAGAGGCGATGCTCTTAAGCATCGACTGGCCTAGTTTGTCAGTTATTTATCTCTGATTATTCCATACACGCCTGAATCGATTTCACGGCCCCCAGTTTCCAATACCGACACTGCATGTCAAATCTTCCAGTACCCTGGTGCAATTCTTTTAACAGTGCTATCACGGGAGCCACAAGTACCTTAGCTCAAACGTGGATAATTATCAGAAGACTGTCGTCGGGACCTAAAACCCAAGTTACAGTCAAACTTTGAAGCTCCAAAGTAATCCCGTGAATCGTAACGGTAAAATCACTCGTAGCGATCCCGCTAAGTTACCATGAAGCGCTATCCCTTCTCTAGTCTGCAAGATGCATCATTTCAATTTACTGAAGTAATCCAACGTGGAAGGGTTCATCCCAAATAGGCCTCTTTCTGGTCTCATGCAACGCTTCCAAACTAAATCTGTTCTGCTTGGAAGGCGTTTATTGTAGTCTGAAAGGCTGATAGATAAACGTTTCTTCATCCTTTCTGTTCTCCGATCCGATTTCTAAATAAACTCAAAATGTTTGCTTGAGCCTTCTTTGTGTGCACCTTCCTTTTCAACCGTATGTCTGGTCATAAAACGCCAATCGAAGGAATGTCTGTCTTCCTTCAAGTCTATCGTTCTACTTCCCAAACGTACGTTTTTTTCTATGTACAAAGTGGTTGAACACTTACGGCATATCACATTCTGATCAGTATTGTTTCCCCTACCGGCTAAATCTGATCAGAAGACATCAGTTTCAATGTAAAGCTACCAGTCCCCGAATGCGCAGTTTCTTCGTGCTGGACACCAGACGAGGCTTCACCCATCATTTCACCTCAACTTGACCACTCAGCTGGGGTTTGAGCGCTTGTGCTCACAGAACGAGAATGATGCGCAGACCTTGGAAAAGGTCTGCAGTAGCCTCCTTGGATCAATGAGGTACTCCAAACTCCTTACGCATTCTCCCCCCACCCTCCTCCAGTCAGAGCTTGGACTTCTCATCCGATGCAAAAAGGTCCCGTCAAAAGCAGGTCCACATACGGAGAAAACTTGACACACAGGCTACCTAGGCACCTAAACAGCTTGACTCAGGGTGTAATCACTGTCAGGAAAGATTGGAAATCCCACATGTTCTAAACCTATGCGTCCAGCGGCATGATCGTAGCAGCACCCCGGGGTTGACCAGGAATGCGTTGGTATTCTTGATGCTACTCCAAAATTGAGAGTAGTGTAAGCCCATAGCTGAAATAAGGGTGACATAAATATCCACCATCACAGCTCCGTCACGCAGCACAAAACAGCCCTACAGTAGATTGTGCAGTGTTCTACGGCGACGTCATGTTAGGTTAACAATTGTGTGAACTACGGCGTGTGTGGTCGCAGATTCAGAAAACCTGCCCGAGTACTACGAGGGTCTTCAATATGAGCGTCAAGGGGCACCCTGAAAACTGACGTCCAATAAGTATTAGCCTACCTACATTCATTGGGCCACAGGAAACCTGCTCAGCTGTGAGTCGCAGGTGCTACTGCAGGTGGGTTCATCTAAACAACGTGAATCCAAAGGAATAAGGCAGATCGGCAAACAAAAATTCTATACATCGAAAAGTGCACACAGGTCATCCGAACAATAGCACGCATATAGAAGTAGTCTGGACATTCATAGGACGGGGGTGGGTGTTCAGATTCAATCATTCAGGTACCTCCAGTGTGCGCTCGTGTAGCAGTGGAGACGCTCGTCACAAATCTGAGGTTCAAATCCCCTCAAGACCAAGGATACGCGTTTCAGAAGAGTTCAAACAAGAGTGGAACTCACGTCCGGTACTTCCCTTCTTACACCGAAATGAAAACATACCATACCAGCGAACAAGCCAGATGAGTCCATCGTGGTCACGCCCCAGCATCGAATGGATAAGTCAACTTGGCTAACTGTTTTTTCAACGGACCGGTGGCCACATCTACAAACCTTCAAGAAACCCCCAATACCCTGGTACAATCTGCCAAATAGACCTGGACGTGGTTGTAAAGATTGTCATTTTACGCTGCTCTAACTGATAGAGCAGCACCACGCCAGCGAACAGGCCAACTTCCTGACCTTAACAAATATCCGGTTTGTGAGATACTTTCAGAGGAATGGAATCAGTCGACCAGTCAACAACCATTCGAGCACTAACCATATCCATGCACATAGCCCGACCTAGTCAGTTTACGGTTAATTTCATTCTCTCCACACCTCAAGTGATGGAACTTACGAATTATTTTATCACTGTTGTTCCCCTAAGGCTTGACATCGCTGAGCGAAGCACTGGAACCTTCGAATACAATTGGTCGCGAACGTCTTCTCATTCAAGGCCCCAAATTTATCAGAGGCTTTTTCCTTCACCGTTGCCACTGGTCAGCCTGCAGGAAATGGCTCCACGGCGAGAAAGTGGGTGCCCCCCAGGCAGATACTTAATTTGTTTTGACCTCCAATGCATTCGGCCAACTAACTTCGTTTAGTGGAGAAAACAAGTGAACAGTACCTGCCGACGAAACCCGGACATCGCAATCCACAAACACTAATGCCGTGCATCGCTTTGTGAATTTTTCGGATAACAGTAAACAGGCCCAAAAAGTCTGCCAAGATTGGGGTTCCTTCGAGAAGCAAGGGAGCCTAACATCAATAAAGGGTGCGACATCCTGTTGTAGTGGCTTTGGGTAGCACTTTTGAATTGCGATGGACCGACGCCGAAGGATGAGTTGCTGACGCCTGCTCACACAAGCATTCAGAATCATGCATCCGGCTCTAGAACAACAGGGGATGCAAGAAACGAGGCCTTCCTGTCCAGCCTGGTGATTAGCAAGGAACGGAGAACGGACCAGGCCACATGAGGCAAGGGCAGCGCTCGCATCACACCAAAGCACACCATGACGCGCTTGGCGAAACAGGCAGTGCCAACAACCAATGAGAAGAATAAGCATTGTCTACACTTAACCAATCATCTTCGTCCTTCTGGTCTAGTCTTCTTATTGGTTTAATGATTAGCTAGAACTGGTCAATAAACATAATGTCCGATCAAACAGAGGGTTGAAACTTATATATAAACTAAACGGGCAAAATTCCTTTTGACTGCGTTGCTCTACGACGTCATGGCCCCGAAGGTTGTTTCTGGCAAAGCCGCGAAGAAGGCGTCGAAGGTGAAGGTCCCGAAGGTCGATAAGAAGAAGAAGCGAAGGAGGAAGGAGAGTTATGCCATCTACATCTACAAGGTCCTCCGTCAGGTGCACCCCGACACCGGTATCTCCTCGAAGGCCATGTCAATCATGAATTCCTTCGTCAACGACATCTTTGAGCGTATTGCCGCTGAGTCCAGCCGCCTCGCTCACTACAATAAGCGCTCGACCATCACCAGCAGAGAAATCCAGACTGCTGTCCGTCTTCTGCTTCCTGGTGAATTGGCCAAACACGCCGTTTCCGAGGGCACGAAAGCCGTGACCAAGTACACAAGCACCAAGTAAGCAGTAGGTGCCGACCAAGTAGAGAACGCTTCCACGGCCCTTTTTAGGGCCACCACATATTGATCCCATTCTTTGTATTTTGCTTTATGAGGGCTACGGAGTCGGGGTTGGGGTTACGGTCACAATGAATCTAGACGTAAGCTGCTGCTTAATTTATCACGGGATTTGCGGGTTAGGCGAGTATTCGTCATAGACGGTACAAGTGTTAGGTTCTTCAGGTTAAACGGCCGGTACTAGTTCGCGGGCTTGGTTGGCGGCGTGTGGATCGCTAGCTGCTCATTTCCTTGGGCGTCTCCTAGCCGGGTACCGTTGGAATTGTGAGGGGCGCTGTTCGTCTCAGCCCGTGTGCAAGCTGCGTGACGTGCTCAAACTTCGCCAATGTCTGGAGAACTTTCGTGAGTGGACTCGGGTATGTTGCCGATCCTCGCCAACGTGAACGCGCGACGCTAACCAAGCCGTGCCGAAATTCAGGAGAATTTACCTGTCTTATCGGATTGTCATTCTGTTTTGTAATGTTGCAAGGCTGCCGGAAAATTCACCGACAGTCCACGACCGGTTTCGCGCTTCATGGGAGTCAGTCCCCTGTTTCACCCTTATGTTACTTGAAACCAAATTGCACTTAATTAGGGGCAGACACATTCGCAAACTTGTTGGTTTTTCTACACTCGTTTGGATCCCAGCCGAATCCCCCGTTTGTGCTGGTTCCAGTTACATGTATAGCGAATTTTCGAATATCGTAGCGACTGAAGCATGAGGCGGCCTGGTGCCTGAGAACATCACAAACGAAAGATTCAGCTAGGTTCCAGGTGAGTCTCGAAAAACCAAATTATTTGCAAATGAGTATACTCCCCTAGTTTCTTGGTCTCTTCACCCACTGTGTACGCAACGGTATTGGCTTTTGCCTACATACCATCGATGCGTGGTTTATGACTGTTGAACTATGCAGGCACTAACAATTAACTAGGATTGCACAAGCTTGCACTTCCGGCTTAGTCAACTCTCAATAAAAAGTACATCCTGTTATAATCCCACATAATTAAGTCGTGAGACCGAGTGCTTTTCCATAACTGACCCCTTCAGCCGACTCGTTCACTTTCAATTGCGTGTTCCGGACTGCGATGCCGCTCAGACTCACCCATCAGCTTTTACTGGCCCTTTGGTCCTTCGAGCCCATCCTACTTAATTTCTCCCCAGAAAACTTTCATCTATTCTGGCGATCCGCTTCCCTTGATGACAATGGCATGCGCGCTTTATTCTGCTGTCTTTTAGAGGTTCTTTCAATTTCGCCAGTTTTACTGTAGTTTATGAGACAAATTCTTGAACAGCGTCATTCCTTCAGACACCCCACGGCTGTTTTTCTGGATCTAAAATGTGCTTTTGATTCTGTCTATCGCGAGGAACTTTGGAGGTGTCTCGCGACCAAAGGCGTCCCGTCTAAATTTATATCCCTTATGAGGGCAGTGTATGCGAACTCCCGTGGGTGCGTACGAGTTAAAGGCAAACTTTTACCTGAGTTTACCACGTCCAGTGGTGTAAGACAAGGCTGCCTTCTCTCACCTTTCCTCTTCAACTTTGTTGCTACTTGAAACTACTCTGACTCTAATGAAACGAGGTGCTGCCGGGACGTTCCCTCGCAGAGTATGACGAAGATACTGCTGCCCTTGGTTTAGATCCTTCAAAAATGCAAACCATTTTAAATAACCTAAATAACTCTGCCACACGGTTTGACATGCGCTTCACACCTGCAGAGTGTAAAGTGATGCTGCAAGATTGGGTTGGATCAAACCCAAACCTCATGCTTGCAGGCGAGTCAATCAACATGGTAGTTGAATGTGTTTACCCGGGTAGTTGCATAAGCTCCGGTGGACTGGATGGGGAAGGGTCGGGCAGCTACTGCCAAGGTCCGATTCCCATGGCGTCGAGGTGACGTAAGTTTGTCTGTCAAGGGATGAGTTCGCCTTGCATCGGTGCTTTACGGATTAGAGATGTTGCGTGCTCACTACGCGCAGAGGAAGTACGGAAGATGTCAGTGTTCGACCATCGGTTTCTTTGAAGCATTGGTCGAATCTGGTGGGAACATAGGATTAGCAGTGCTGAGGTATGTCAGATGGTCTTTAGAAGTTAATCATCCACGATGGATGAATCACCCCTGCTTCATTGGTTACGCTGGTTGACACATTTACCCCATATGCCATCTGCCTCACACAGCTCGTTTCACACAGCCCTGTGCCGGGGGAAAGCGACTGAGGGTGGGCAGTGTATGACCGGGCAACGAAGTGTGAAATTACTAACCCGTAAAATGAATTAGGTCGACAGCTACCACCGCCCGAGAGAGGGAGCCCGGGACTCATCTCACCAGCCGCCAATAACACTGACAGAAATGGCCAATCACCTTCAAAGCGTACCTGCCGAAAAAAATGAACTCGTCGCTGTCTCCATGTGCCCTTGCGGCACACGGATTGTAGATGAAAATTTGAATTGAAATTGACCGGTTAACACCATAAATCTGCAGTATCGAAACCTAGCCACTATCAAGATGGCTCTCATGGTTACATTTTCCACCTATTCCAAACGGGCCAATTAATTTTGATAACAATTTAACTTGTAGACAAATTTCTGATCCATGACAGTCCATATCACAGCTCACTTAAGTTGTTTCCATCACAACCTCCTCAAGGCCGACTCCGGTGTAACTGGCACGTCTGATTGATGACCCAATTGTGAGCAGAACCCAGCACCTCCGAACTCTCGCCAATCACCGTACTGGCATACAGTGGTAACTAATGCACGGGGATACAAATTCAGCCCGCTCATCTTTAGAGATCAGTTCAGAATCTGGAACCCGAGACCCGTTCCAAATCTAGGCGCCGAAACAATAGCGAGGCGGGGGCGGATGAGGTCAGATACATTCGGAGTAATATACGCAGGTACAAAATCTCCGGGTAACCAGCTAGCTCGCGTGTGGGCTGATGGTTGCGATAACTGCTGGCCTCTGACTTCGTAGCAGTGTTAAAAACCCCGAGCACAACTTGAACGCCGGGAGTGCCACTTAACGAAATCGGAACCAGTTAGCTCTTCGGCGGCTGCTACGGTCGAATCTCAGTTGATGGGTAGATTGCCTAAACCCCATGTGAATTAATGGTCCGCCCCTATGGGATGGACGTAAAATCTGTCAACCGTAGCACGCTACGCCAACAGCGGGAAGCGCCAGAAGGCCCGAAACCGAAATCAAGCCGGGGGGAACACGACCAGCGGCTTCGAGCCCTGACTTCCCACTGCGGTAATCGGACGGTGTCGGTTGGCACGACTTATGTGAGAGAAACCCACTTGCGATAGAGACAACCCTAACCAGGGGTCACGTCTCCTACACCCACATGACAAATAGGAACAGAAAGCATCACAATGTGTGGCCCTAAAGAGGGCCGATGTCACGTTCTCTACCTTCGAACACTCGTAGGTCGAAGCTTAGGCCTTCACCTTGTCAGTCTTCTTCGGCAGAAGCACCGACTGGATGTTCGGCAACACACCACCTTGAGCAATCGTCACGCCTCCCAGAAGCTTATTAAGCTCCTCGTCGTTGCGGATGGCCAGTTGCAAGTGACGGGGGATGATGCGGGTCTTCTTGTTGTCTCGGGCAGCATTGCCAGCCAACTCCAAGACCTCAGCAGCCAGATATTCCAGGACTGCGGCCAAGTACACAGGAGCACCAGCGCCGACACGCTCAGCATAGTTGCCCTTGCGCAGCAGACGGTGCACACGACCAACTGGGAATTGCAAACCAGCGCGCGACGACCTGGTCTTAGCCTTCACACGAGTTTTACCACCCTTTCCGCGGCCGCTCATTGTTCAACAGACAGAAGGAGAGAAAACGTGGACGAGACCAAAAGGTGCGCGAGCATATATATATGTCGTGTAACATCATCTGTATGGGGAAATTGGGTGATACTGCAACCCCATTGGGCAACTAATTTTGGCCAATCTTAAACAGATCATTGCCGGCTTCGCTACCAGCGCTTGTCCTCGTGCACCTACGATTGGTTCGTTGTATCAACGACCCAGCAGCAGCGGGCGCCATGACGACAGTGCATGATGCGGCAGTAACTATGGCGGCAAGTAGATCCCAGACTGCACCAACTACAAGCTGGTGGATTTGGTCCATAGGTAATCGATCAGTAACTGTTGGGTGCGAGGCGATTGAATTGACGGGGGCTTTACCGTGATTGTCGTCACGACGAGACCGGACCTTACTTTGGTGTGTCGGTTCACGCACCCCAGGTACCCATTGGGCTATGCTGGGGGTGTCACCACGACACTCACCCGGTTGGCCAATGGTTCGAAGTCGGACGAGCAACTGGTCACCCCGCTCGGGGGTTAGAACATGTGGTGAATTGTTCGGTGAAATTGGTAACGCGCTTGCATTTCAACCCAACCAGTGTTGTTTTGCGGTTAGGCATTTAAGCCAAGGGCTTCGATTGACGATTCTACCCGTCCTCCTGTCTAGCTGTACACCAGTATCGGTCATGTTTTCGATGATGGTTTCCGCAATTACTTGAAGTGTGCTGAATGTCATTATTGTCCACAGTTTACACCGGCACTACAAGTGTTGCGGCAGGACTGTATCCGCTCCTCTTAGCCCCGACGGGCTGATGGGCCATGTGTCAAGCAACCACGCCCAAAAATGGCATGCTAGCTTCGTACGAGCGAGACCGACAGTATGCCAGATGGATCTGTGGGTCTCATGCTGGCCGTTGCGCGAGATGTTCAGCGACCGCGTTTTTATGCGCGCATAGATTTTCCTGGGCTGCCTAGTGCGTTGGAGGCCCCGATGCTCCTCAGTCTTCCCTTGCTCCACGTCAGTCATATATCAACCGGTGAAATTTAAAACACAGCAAACTGTATCCGTAATGTCGGGGATGTTTGGAGGCTACCGCCAGGCAGGGGTCAGTCAGCTAACCTTCGAGTGTTTTCAGATGTCGCACGTTGTTAAAAAGAAAAAAACAAACGGCATTGAACCCATTTAGGGCAACATTGCGAGTCATTTGCTGCAGCGATTTGACACGTATGACTTCCTTTAAGAGAACAGCGACATCTGATTTGAGGCAGCAATACAGAATGGTGCTAACAGATAGATATTTTATTAAGAAACGTCTCGATTCGACCCACAGGCGTACCCGTCGATGGATAAGTTCAATTCTGTTCGTGGGGTATTTGAATTTTCCGCTAACGCCCGTGGAGACCGTTTATGTGCGTGACTGCCATCTGGCCATGGATAAACAACTCTCCCTTTAGATCGGACAATCAGATCGACTAAGTTATGTCGAGTTACCCGGCTAAACTTGGCATCAAATACTGAATACTAGTCGACACAGATTACAAATTATTGTATGCTATTTCCCAATGTCGTGCAAATAGTACATGAGACAATCTTCACAAAACTCAAAAACGAGAGGCATATTCGAGTCTCACGTTTACACAACACTACCCTGCAGATGACTGCATTTGGCTAACTGATTACAGTTTGGATTCAAATAGAACCTAAGGATCATTGATAACATATATCTCCCAAGATTTTACTGACCGAATGGTCCATATTTCTAACCTAACTGCGTTCTCCCAGTTGCTCTAAGCTTGAGCAACTTGACAAGATTTCAGCCCACATCATTCCAATGGGTGGTACCGGAAAACAGGTAGGGCTGATTGCATGCGGAATACGCAATGTAAAATTTTCCGTATTTTAATGGAACCACTTAGTTGACCTATGTTTCGTGGTCGAAATCCTCGACTACACCGAATTGGGCGCAACTTTTGGACCAAACAGTTTGTGATACCACCTCAGAAGGGCGACTAACATGGTAACTATCGTCTTGCCGCAATGATGCAGAACAAGTTTAGACGAACATTATTGTTGCAGATAGTTTCCTGTCGAGAATGTGGCTAACCTTCGTGGGGGCTCTGTAGTTCCGCAGTTCCAGTAATAATCCAGTTTTGCCTTCACATCATTATCAGCTGTAAGAACCGCGCACATGTACAGTAGTTGTAGTTGCCACAGTTTCGTTCACCGATGATTCAGGGAGATGGGGAAGGTAGCTACGCATCAGAGGAGGGAACTCATAAATTGATGCATGAATACAGCACTGTTAAGCGGGGAGAGTGAGAAGGAAGCTATAGATTTAAGGGATTAAAGCTTGGATGCCCGAGCGCCATTTGAGGGGGCGACTGGGACATGTCTGGCAATAACAATAACCAATGATGAATCCCCTCCCATCCAAGCAGACGACAACGAACAGCGCAGCTGAATTTCCCGGTAATTGTTTTTATACCTATTTTGAACCATACTATTTTTCACTGATAACAGTTGGGCATGCGGAGGATACCATCGCGCGGTCAAAAAATATGTCACTCGATGCATTTCAAATTTAAATTATTTGCTGCATCAAAAAGTAAATACTCTCAGGTTTCCATGTTGAGAATTCTCTGATGCCAGAACCCACTAGCGTCGGTGAGATGTCCGAATGAACTTTGAATTTTTCTATCCGGAGAATATATTTTCAAACTGAGTCCGTCACAGGGCGAGTCAATAAGGGTGGTCCCTGTGAGTTACGGATATCGTTCTCACCAAGATGAAGCAGATGAACGCAGATTTAAGGTAACTTGAAAATAGGTACCCAGTGGTCGTCACGATATGCGCTTGAGAATGGTTCGGTTTAATGGATTATGATTTCAAGACACATACAGCTGGGTTTAAAGATGTCCCGTTTAAACGGGCATTTCGTCGTAACCATGATCACCATCATAGATGATGGTAGCAATCGATTGCCCTCGCCAGTTTTATCGCAATTAATACCGACAGCATTTGGGAGCAAGTGTTAGGAAAATCGATACCACCTTCCTGACAATACATTACGCGCAAACTGAAAGTTCTGCAACAACTCACGATGGCCTCCTGCCAAAACATAATTCGCATGCAAATGGTAGCATTTACGGAAATCCCATTGGTCTGCTGCGCCGTCACTTTACAGTGTCGCAACGGCAACTGGTCAGTTCTTGCGTATTTTGAGTAACATGGTCTCTCCTCAGGACATCTGTAGATTTCGACCCTGGACGGCCGATCTTCAGAGTCTGCTTCATTAGGGATTTTGCAGTCTCGATTCTCATCATAAAAGAATTTCTAAGCACGGCTTCAAATAGAACATAAGGTTAGCGGAACCTCAGAACGGTGTCGTCGTAATGAGCCCAAAACTGATTAAACCAATCGTCCAATGTCCAAGAATCTTTAGGAACTTTGCAACAATGAGATATTCCAATGTAAAATCTCGGCTGAACATCGCACAAAATATGAAAGTTGACAGTTTCATCCAAGCCACCAGTCCAGGCCAACGATCGCATGCACAACACTGTGTCACATAATCCACGTGACCCATTGATTCTGATCCGCTAAGGTTCATTTCATGCTGTTCTCATGATATTCTGTAATCAGAAGCCCTGTTCATTTTGACCAAGTAGGAATAATTAGCTCGCCATAAAATCACGAGCAAAGAAAGATGAACTAACGAAGGAAGAACTATGAGGATTTAGCGCGAAGAACCCACATCCGATTGAGGGGAACAACAAAGACTAGTGTATTCGCATTTGAAATAGCACAGTTATGTCAGTTTCCTGAGAAATCAACGGCAGCCCAATACGGGCCGTACCCTAATTGAGGTTCATCAGGTTTTATACCTGGACATCCGTTTGCATACCATTGGGGAGATTATTTCATTTGAAAATTAGGCTGATATTGATATGAGATTGATTTGAATAAAAGCTGAATCTTTCACTCATAACATGTTCTTCCGGAATATCATGCATTTGGACACCGCAGAAATAAACAAACTCGAGCATACTACTGGATTGGGAACTCGTTAGCTGTATTGGTCTTGCGTCCTTCGAGAACCCTATTCGAATTAAACCCAGAGCACAAGTACACGCGAAATTTAACGCGTCAATTGGGTCGGTTGTGTACTATATCGCACAGGGACTTTGACGATATGCAGGCAGGATCGTGTGAATCCCACCCGTAAGGGAGCAACAGTCTCACAACATTTGGTTTGATTTAAGCCGGTTTTATTTCCTTTCATCATACCATAGCCTATCTACCATGAACCTCTAGCGAACAACATATGGACGAGAGTTCAGTGCCTTCTTGTGTAGCCACGTGTAGTGCGTGCCCCAAACATGCAAGCCTGATAAGTTGAATCGGCTGCTTTAAGAGCAGTGATTCGTTGCGGAGCGGAAACTTGCGCACCACTTCACTTCACAGGATGACTCTTGATATGCTAGGTCAAACAAGAAGAACGATGTAGTCCACGTGATCCAAGTCCAACAAACTTCCCCTTTACAATAAAGGGTTCAAGTAGAACATAAGACTGACGGAAACTCGGGGAATGCGCCTACCTATTGAGCCTCAAGTAGGGAGAAACCGGTCGTGGGCTATTTAAGAGATTTCAGCAACCTTGTGAGAAGTTCCTTTATCAAAAGCGATAAACTGTTGCAATCTGTAATGAGTTCACCTGACGGGTGGTTCGTGATCTAGTTGCCAAACTTGGAAAGTAGCTTGCAGATGTATCGTCACCCCAGGATGTTACATCATCGGTACGCAGTTTGGTCCGATTTCATCTGATTCTAGGATATACTATACTACTCATTCGCCTGGTTTACACAAAGGAATACATCAGATCGAAACTCTCATGAACTTTTGACCATGTGACGAACTAGATTCATGTAGCAAACTTCGTATTGGATATTATTTTCAACCTCAACAAGCACTGAATGGAACCTGTGTCTGAGAGGGCGAAAACACTGTCTGTGCTATTTTGTCTGATGTGATGAGCCGCTGTCCGCCTAGCTTTTAGGAACATGCATAGTGACTTCGCAATGTCGAAAGACTTTTCTGGGCACCTATAACACAGTAACCAGTTTGTCACTTCCCAGATGTCACATCCTTTTGTTAAACTATGTATGTAGCCGAGACCAATTCGACTGTGATAGTCATGTTCAGATAACAGCTTGGGGGGTGGGTGGTTCACGTCCGGAACAATTTCGCACGGAATGTTAAGTGAAACATGATGCATTCAGACCGATCCTGGTGTCATGTCTTATCTGTACACATAATCAGTGCTTGTTTGTCCGTATGAAATTTGACAGATGTCTTGAATGAGAGAACAGTGAATTCAGCTGATTGAGGCAAACGATGGGAGTGGAGAAGTCCATCCATTCGATTCAAGATTATCGATAAGTGCAAGTTCCGGGCAGACAGCAAAATTTCCATGAGAACAACTGTTTTCCTGTGAATTTCTTTTTTGACAAAACCTGTTTTGATATCTTTTCATCATAGTTGCGCATTCTAATGACTGGAATGTTTCCGAATTAGCTGATTTTGCTTTGTATACGTCCCTGTAAAAGACTCGATCAAACAATAAAGCCATAAAATTGAAGAACTGTGCGACCCACAAATCTCACACCTATTTGAAAATCACCAGGATCTCATCTGAATCTCGCGTTTATGTTACTCATCAACTGATTGTGCAGCGCCTCGTTTTTCATATGGTCCGACGTTTGAGATATCGCAACATATTGGGTACTACTAAGATCGTAAATGTACTTCGTTCAATTTGAGTTCAAGGTACCTATATGATGATCCAACGGATCGTGAGCTATTGCAATGCGTCCAATAAGCTAATGAGTCAATAGTGATCGACTAGCAGTAAGAATGTCAAAAGGATATCGGAATTCATGGTGTAAATTAGACAATGTAAGGTCAAAACGGCGCCACTTTCGTCTTTGGTCCGAAATCCGGCCACTGCGTATCGAGGATGTCAAAAGACGTCCAGTGTTTGACCATCGAAGGAGCATTGCTCGAGTCTGGTTAGAACACCGGGTTGGTTACCCTGAAGTACGTCGAATGTTGATGGGAAATAACTCACTCTCGATAGATGAACTGATCACAATGCATAGGTTGCGCTGGCTTGGCCACGTACTCCGTATGACACTCGACCGAATTCCTCGAAGGAAAGAGTAGAACCGTGCCAGGGGAAGTCAAGCAATGGCTTGGCAACTGATTATGGAAGACATCACCAGCAGTCAGTTGTGCTGGATGGGGACTGCGAGGCGAGGCACGTCAGTGGTTAGAAGCCTTGCCAGTCATGGCCCAGTTGCGCCCGTGCCTTCACTTCATAGCTCCCCTCCCAATCTGTCCAATGAAAAGGCCCATTGGCAGACATATTTACGTATGAGTGATACCAGCTCCCCCTTCCAATGTCCGACGGGATGAGATGGTTCAGGTGGTTAGGGCGCAAATTTACTGACCGCAAGGTCCGTGGTTCGAACCCCACCTCTGCCACCCTAGGCTTGGGCAGTATCCTAATCCTCCTGTTTATTTCGGGTGACATGACAGCTAGGCACCGGAAGGGTGTTACAGCTGAACGGTTTCCAATGTTCAGCTACCTACTCTGCTTCCCAAAATCATCTGTGAGGGAAACTGTGGCAGCTACAACCACTGTTCGGCAAGTACCTGATTCCTATAGCTGATGATGAGCTTCCAGGATGTGCACATCAAAAGTATGGTAAATGTTTCTTGCTGTTAGGTGCGTATAGTCCATAGTTCATTCTCAGATTATTTCGTATTCCCAGTGTGTGTTGGGAAATGTTTTTTGGTGTCAGACACATTTGTAGGTTTATTAAGTTGAACTCGAGACACGACGACCCACTAAAGACTCCTCGTCCACCGTAATTCAGTGTATAGACCCCATCACTTTCTAGGAAAGGAAATGACTACCCTACATTGATTTGTGTTGCGACACGGGTAGGAACAAGACTTCGAAATACGTCTCCGACTGCAGAGCTGAGCTTCCCTCATCCAACGGACAAATCAGCACATTCATCCTGGTGAAGAAATAGCACTTTACTTCGGGATACCTACCACCCTTCAGGAAAGGCCCTTAACACTCAGAATGATCTGGTTTGGGTTCTTATGCAGAATTCTGGAGGAACATGTCCAAGTTTCGTGCCACTTTCACGATAAAGAGCTAGCAACCGGCAACTGCTAATTCATTTCGTCTCTAATGGAGCCTCATGATCACCTTAGGCACAAGATCATTCCGGGTGATCGGCTGTGGGCACTGACCCGACATTTTCGCTGTTTGCCACATAAATTTTATAAACATGTTCACGACACTGAAGCAAAAGTTTATGGATGTATCCTGGGTTGTTGGGGTCGGTAAATGTTGAGGTAACATGCGCTTTCAGGTTGGTCTGTCGTAACGAGTGAGGTGGATTTGTAGTGCGAATGCACTGGACTTTGAGCTGAAGCATACTGCCAGCGTGCCCAGAAATAACGGTTATCTAGGGAGATTTATTCGAAGAATATGTTTGAATGCCCTGTCCTACCGTCTGTAATGGTCGGTTCAAAGAATCCAATCTATTTGAGTCCACTCTATAAAGGTGATCTGTTGGCCGACACATTCAGTCGCTGCTTGTTTCATTCTCTACAGCTCTTGTTTCCGGCTGCAACTCTGCCATTTCGGTTTGCATTAACCTTTGCTCAAATAAACCTCAAAGACAAGATGCCAGTCCTCATCCAGATTATGGTTGCGTAGTCCTCATCCCGCTGTTCAGCAGAATATGCAAGACTCATGACAAGAGAATACATGAGCATCTCTGTTGTCAAACATCCCTAGACCCAGTGGTTCAGCCAAACGGTCGAACACCCCACACATAGTTGGCATGGATCACGTGGTCAGTCAGAGTGGAGTCGTTTTACATCATCTGTCCGCTACCAAATAGACAATCAATATCGATTCGGCGTCATGACTTGATGACAATGGCAAAACTAGTGTGTGATTTTCGGAATTGTCATCAAAATCGATTAGTATAAGCATGTTCATCTGGCATGAATCGATTAACCCAGTCTGTCAACGGCCACATTGACCGCCTCAGAGCATTTAGGATTAACTTGGATTTCGCTGCCGCTCAGATCATACATGTTTCCGCCTTCTCTAATTTAGTGACTAATCGCTATTTATCTCTGATCTAAGCATTATGTATGTACTGACCTGACGAGGAGACCTGGAAAAGTGTTTTTGTTGAAACAATGTTGGAAGCCAATGAACACCCATGGACAGTAGGAAATGCCATATAAGGTTTGTGCTGAGGCGTGTGTGCACACATCCGAACACCCAGTAACTGGTGTCAACCCCAAGAAATAAGGCCAGACAGTGAGCTGGACTACTCACTGCGTGAGCCACCATTATGCCAGAATGAGGTTCATTAATTCCCAATTCAGCTGAGTCTCACAATATATACAGGGGGGATCTGGTGATCCGAACCCTGGACAGACATTATGGCCAATAGAGCAATCGATCATTTACCTCGGTTTTCACGATGGTCACAGACTATAGCACCGTTATGAACTTAGCACTGAGGAATGTCCAAAGTGTAAGAGTGGATTTCTTGCAAACAGAATGGGGAGGGCGCGAAATTGGGAGTAACTGGCGGCCTATTTGGTTTAGTTCGGTACTCACGACTAAACAGTTGATTCTGACAGCGCATTCGAAATTCCGCCTCATGGCTGACACTGAGCACAAGGAGCGTCCGTGCATGGTCACCTAGCGATGGTGACAGGTCAATACGAGTACCGAGGAAAAGCTAACCAGAGCACGAGTTGGGGCTGAGAATAATCTGGCTACCCACTACCTACTTGGTCAATCTTGAGGCTCCCCCAGGTAGACTCATTTGGGGGTTTCGCTGACATTGTGTTCAAATCGCAGCCAAAATTGTAGGCGACCCATGAAAGTTACTTTGGTGTCAAACGATCAGTTGGGTCACTGGCTAACATCAACATACTTTGGTGACGAGTGCATTCCAACAGTAGTCTACACCTTGATGTTCAAGTAGAACAGAAAACTGAAGGATATCCGGAGACTCCGCCTATCTGAGAGGTACGGAAATGGTCGTAGCCCGTTGAAGGGCTTCCAACAAATTTGCACTTCGTATGCTATGTCGGGACAGACAACTCCGTGCGCACGAAGATTGCATAAGCAAACAGTTAAACTAGGGGAAATCAGGAGGGAATGAGAAGCACGCAAAAGCATCTTCTGTTAAACTTCTGGCGCGAGAGACAATGAGTTTTGATATACCGACGCCCGTGTAAGGATTTACAATGCTGTACAATGAACTGCACGGATGGCCTGGAGTGGACATCCAGCGGAAGCCTCATTACAATTATGGTGACGGAGATGTGGCCAACTGGCGGTAAGTTGTTGAGGAGGTATCCACTAGGCGGAGCCACACGGCTTTCCTGATCGGGATTTACCGCACCAAGCACGAGTCTACCACAGTAAGCTCAGAAACCGCAAAGCGACGGGAAACCGGGATGCAAGTTCATTGCGTCACTCAATTGATCCAAATTCGCAGCGGACTTTGAAATTGCAGTCGCACATCCCAACTCACAATCACAGCCTGTAGTTGAAAAGCACTGCCCGTTATGCACGGAGGATGACTCCGTGAACCTCATTTCGGGATTCGTGGGTTCGGACTAAGCTACCTAGCGAAATGGTTTCTAAGTAGGTGCCGCCCAAGCCATACTCAACCTAGAATCAGTGCACCATCCACCGTAGACCGGAGCTGGGTAGACCAACGCACGGGTTTATTAGTCAGCCCTCAGCTCAGTGAATGCCCACACCGGTACGTACGTTGTGAGGCCCTACCAGAAATCCCACCTGATATAACAAGGCTACTGCATTAAGATACCCAAATACCGATCGCCCCGTAAACGAATAAGCCACGAAAGACTATGGGGCGAGGACGAGTGCAGCAGATCTACCGTCAACAGATTGTCGGGGACAAGGCGCAAACCGAACGGAACCGCAATTTGAGGGAAAAGGGTCTGGGTTGATCTAATGCCATTCGAGCCACATTCAACCTCAAATCAGTGCACTATCCACGGCAGACTGAAGGTGGGTAGACCGCACGGGTCCATTCGACCTAACCTTCAGCCCAGTGAACACCGGCAAACAAACCTCTGTGAGATAAGTACGGTTGTCAGGCCCACGAAACCCCGCCTGCCAAGCCCAGGATACTGCATTGACACACCCAAAGCCGATTGCCCCGTAAATGATGAAAACGAACACCGAAAGTCACAATGTGGTGGCCCTAAATAGGGCCGTTGTGCGTTCTCGTGCGGAAGGAATGACCGAAGCGGAATTAACCACCGAAGCCGTAGAGAGTGCGGCCTTGGCGTTTCAAGGCGTACACAACGTCCATAGCAGTGACGGTCTTTCGCTTGGCATGCTCGGTGTAGGTGACGGCGTCACGGATGACGTTCTCAAGGAACACCTTGAGGACACCGCGAGTCTCCTCGTAGATCAGACCGGAGATGCGTTTCACACCACCTCGGCGAGCGAGACGGCGGATTGCGGGTTTGGTGATCCCCTGGATGTTATCGCGGAGAACCTTGCGATGGCGTTTCGCTCCTCCCTTTCCGAGTCCTTTACCACCCTTACCACGTCCAGACATGATGATGGGTTGTTACAGACAAGACCGCAACGAGACAACGGGGTCATTCACACGACGCGACATAGGGAACTTGCCGTCCAAAAATAAAGTAGGACTTGAGCCAATCAGAACGCTGGCTTTGATTGACTATAACAAATGTCTGCCTCTCTGTGAACTGAAGCAGATTTACGGTGGTTTTTGCCGGGTGCTATCAACAACTTAGAATCTGTTTCTCACCCTGACGAATGGAAAGATTTTGAAAGGAGCA